GAGGGGCAGCTGTAGATACTCGATTTGTCCGGGGTTATGTCGGGGCAGACCCGAAGCAGACCGGTTGAAGGCCCAACTCAAGCCCAGTGATCCTGCAGAACAATTTCCAGCCCATATGAATACTTCCTGGAAAACCAAAAAAATGGTTATCGGGAGTTAACAAAAAGGGGGGGTTTTCAGTTTTCATAGATGGAGGGGGATATAAAATTGGAGGGTGGGCAGTTCTAAAGAGAGGAGGATGGGGACATAGAGAAAAGGAGAGTACAGAGTAAAAACGAGAAAAAAACACATAGAACAGAAAAGAAAAAGAAGATTTTGTTTGTAAATTTTTTCTGGTTTAGCATTCTGGAAACAATAAAAGGAAACAATTTTTTTTTCCGATTTCATGGTTCCATTCGAAGGAAAGCATTAATCATTCACAAAAGGGCAATAATATTTTCAACAACCAGAAACAGATAGCATTAACAAGGAGGTATTTTATCTTATTTTATTTACTTTCTAGCAACTATTTGTGTGTGTTTTGTATTTGTTTTGAAAGAAAATAAGAGTTAGAAGCTTATCGATTTGAGTCACCGGATTAATACTGAAGCATTGAGAATTATTCGGAGAGCCTTGCATGTAGATTATTTGTATTAGTTCCCATCTTTCGGAATTTTAAAATGAAAAATAGAGGTAAATTAGAAGGTTTAGTGTTTACCTTTTGGAGCCAATTGGTGAGTTCTTTGAGCATATCCATCATTTGTAAGAGTAGAGGTTAGGTCTTGAGAAATTAAAAAAATAGAATAGCGATCCAGAGAGAGACTGGAGAAAAATAGAACGGCGATAATGGCGTCTCGGTTGAAGGTGGGTGGCCATGGATTTTGGCCCCTGTTTCCATCGAGAAGAAAAGGAAAGTTGAAATGGAGAGTGGAGAGTGAAGTTGAGTGGCAGGAGGGGTTTCCTGCGTGAAGTAGATTAGGATTAGTTTAATATTAGGTTTAGTTTAATATATATATCTTAGTAATTTTGGGTTAATTATTTCTTGGTCACCAAATACAAAGATAAAATTAGGTTTTAGTCTTCATATTTTAGCGTGTTTGTATTTCAGTCACTTGTAAAATCTATATTCGAATTTTACCTTTTTATTTGTCCTAAAGTCATTATTTTTCAGTGTTGTTTGTTATTCTTTTGGATAAATTCTTTTTGGTACCCTTACTCGTTAAGCTCATTTTTATTTTAATCCTTGTTCTAATTATTGATATATATGTTTAATTTCCACTTCATTTAATTTTAGTCCGGATTAGTAATTTCTTTAATTGTTGTTGTTTAAACATTTGAATTATAGATTTTTGCATGTTTCTTTTTAATCCCATGTATATTTAGGATTTATTCTGATTTCAGTCCTTTGTAAAAATGAGGTTTTTTATTATTATTATTATTTTAGTTTAAAAATCTTGTATGGTATAATGTGTTCATTTCCACACCATTTATTATCTTGTTTGTTACTATGGTGTTAAAGTTTCTATTCAATATTATGTAGTCTATATTTTAATAAGTACAATTTTTTTCGTAGTTTGATATGCTTGGTTTTTATTTTTGTATTTAAGTCACACTTATACATTATATGTTAATATGCATAGTTTATAATTTTTAATTAAATTATATGTATTTAATTTTTTTTGTATGTCACGTTGTATGATATTTTTAATTTTATTTAATTGATTTTGGCATGACATCCTTTTTCCACGATTCGCATGGTAACCTCATGTGCATAACTCGACATATTACATAATTGGATTAAGGGTAATACACTTTTAATTTAAAATTGTCCTGAGTGGCTTGTCTTAACTGATTAGAGGGCCGTTTTGACGATTTTAAATTAAAAGTGTATCCCGAAAATGAAATCAAAAAAATTGATTCGTCACCTAAAATTTGGGAACGAAAGAAAAGGAAATATTCGTTTATTTAAATTTATCGAGAAAAGGTTGTTATAGCTTTTAAGATCTGGTCTCGATATTTGTAAATAATCGAACATTCTTTATCATTCTAAAACGACTTGGTTATTTTAATTTAATTTATTTGAGTGCTTTTGAATGTTTTTTTAAATTTACACCTTTTTTTTATGGGATCAAAAGCCAAATTAAGTTCAAATTTGTAAAGTTCATTGCAAAGACGTTAATTAATCGACTAGGTACCGATTTAGGGCGTTGTGGGGGTGCTAATCCTTCCCCGCACGTAACCGACTCCCGAACTTGGATTTTGGTAACGCATACCTCAATTTGTTATTTTAATTAAAGTTAATTTTTATTTAAAATGACAAAGCATTTTTGGGTGCCCAATCACACCCTAATCAAAGATTGGTGGCGACTCTTCGAACCGTATTTTTCGATCGTAAAGGAAATTCAAATTTTTTCGAAACGAGAGGTCTTTTAAATCGCATATGTTTTTAAAATGAAAAGAGATAATTAAGGATTAATGCGGTTTTCAAAATCTCACCTTTTTTCACCTTTTAAGAAAAAAATTGTTTCGACAAATATGATAGAACAATATATGAAAATCAGTTTTGATTTTATTGTAGTTATAGGAAAAATGTATGAAATTATAATATTACACATATGGTTATATTATTATTTTTGATTTTAATTATCGATCTATTAATTTTATTAGTTAATTATTTAAATATTATCAATCTAGTCATTTCTTATCAATATTTAACGAAAATATTGATGCATAAGTTAATAAATAATATTTATATAAATATATTAATAAAAAATATAATAACTATTTAAAAAAATACTAACATAAAAATAAATTTATTACCACTAATAATAAATTTAAAACTCAAATAATTAGAGAATTTGAGTTATATAAGAGAGGAGAATATGATTTTGGTGTGAAGAATGAGGGATGGTTGAGGGGGTTTATATAGGGGAGGAGGAGGGGTAGTTAGGGAAAACGGATGGGGGCATTTATGGCATTTAATGGAAGGTGCGTCTCCGGGGATGTGCCTTCCACACGTGGCAGTGGAGTCATCAGAATCCCGTGAAGACGCGTCCCCGGAGATGCGCCTTCCACACGTGACATCCAACTCAGCGAAAATTCGGGTAAAGCGCGTTTCCGGGGATGCGCCTTTCGCCAGCTCAACCGAAAGAATATCACTTCGAAAAATATATATCAAATGATGCTAAAAAGATAAATATTCGATTAAACAATGTTAGTTTAGTCAAATCGCCCAAAAAGGAAACAAAATGATGTTAGATTTTGGAACGAAATTAGTAGAGGAGAAGAGACTCGCTTTGATTCTTAGTCGCTTCTGAGTTTATCGAGAAAATTAAATTAGGACATCTTGATATTCTTTTCTTAAATTTTCATATTCGTGAAATTCACGATAAAGTACACCAAAGGTCTCTCAACTATGATCAAATGATTATTTTGACAACTAAACTAAAACAATTATAAAATGATCATTACAATTATTAAATTATTACTTAATGATCATCATTGTACTTTTATAATAATAAAGTTTGATCAATTTAATGACCATTATATAGTATTTTGATAAAATATAATGATTATTTTGTATAAATTTGATGAGCTTAATTATCATTTTATATTATTGTGGTGCTTATTTTGTAATAGTTTAATAAATTTAATTAATATTTATAATTCTTTTAAAAATTTAATGACTAAAATGATCATGTGATCATAGGTTAGGGGCATATGGTATCCTTTATCCTAATTATATTGCCAACAGCAACTAACCCACATATTTTTAAGAGATAACACGGCTTGCAAGTAAAGACGACAATTTAATTTGAATCCGACGGTTTTGATCCAACCCGATTATTTAGGCCATTTTTATATAAATAAAAAATTAGGGTTTAGATTAGATTGGGTCAGATTTTTTAAGGGTGGGCTGGGTTAAGTTCGGGTTCGGGTGGAGGTTAAAATACCACGACCCGACCCAAGATAATAATGTAATTTTCTTAAAAATTTTATTATTTTTTTCAAATTAAATATTTATTTTATATCGGATTGGGTTGTGTCAGATATGGTCAGATTTATACTTTTAAAATTCGGTTCGGATCATAGTCGAGTAGAGAGTATATATTTTTTTAGACTGGGTCGGATGAAATTGAGAATATAAAATTTTTGGGTCGTGTCGAATTCAGATGGAGGGTGCATATTTTCTGGTCGGACCAGGTTGAACAAAAATCCTACCCGTTGCCATCTTGACTTGTAAGTATTTTGTATTTCTCTCAAAATGGGATTAAAAATGAATAATTACATTATACAAATAAATGGTATACCAATGTTTATTAATGGATTAATAAGAAAGGTTAAGAACTAACAATCAGTTTGTCTAGTGAGATGATGCACTAGGTCCCTTAAACAAAGTCAGGGATTAGAATCCTGACATTTGCGAATGGAGTAAATTGGGCTGGGAGGATCGCTCTCTTCTTTGTAATACCTGATCTGAATTAGTTGATTAATAGATCATATACGTGATTAATTCAAAAAAAAAAATAGCTTAGGAGGGAAGGTGCTTGGTGAGTCAGGAATTGAGTGGGACTCATGACAACGTTGGTGAGCTCTGCTCAACTCAAAGCGGAAAAGCAGCAATTATCTATTCTTTTCGGAATATTACTCATGTATCATTTGAATGGAACCTGTACGATTAAAGATTTTAAATTTAAATAATTATATTTATATTATTAATAATTAAAAAATGTAAATAGATAATACACGTATAAGTATATATATATATATATATATATGAAAAGGTAAAATTAACCAATGCCTAGTTATTTGTTTGATGTAAAAAATTAATGGTAAAATTTTAGCAAAATAATAAAGAATTAGATTGGTGTAATTTTTTTACGTATAGTTAAATATATACGATTAAATTTGGTGGTTAATTTATTAAATTAATGAATGTTTGATGGAGGTGTATCTTTATATATTTTAATCTTATTTAAAATTTAAAGTTACTCAAAAACGATGTTTAAATTATTGCGGAATCAAAGTGAAGAAAGTATTGAAATATCAACTTTTTGATATCATCTGCGCCAGCCAATCAAACCACTACACACTCTTTTCAAAACATCACGCGCTCGATTTTTTTTTTTGAGAAAGAAAAAAGAATCGATCGATCGATTGTCTTGAATCATTTCCATTGTCGTCGTCGTCGTCTTTTTCTTCCTTTATATCACGACTACTCTTCGGATTCGTCTTGATCGGCCGGCGCATCATCTTCTTGATCAGCTCGGTTGTTTTCAGCGAATTCGGTGGATGAGGAGGCGGAGCCGTTCTCCTATGCGCAGCAGCCTGGAGGACGTGGGTGTAATTCCCTTTCACCATGAACAGCTGTGCGAAGTGGTGCTTGCAGTACAGCACGCCGTCGAGCGACGCGTACGACGAGTGGGTCAACGGACAACCGCCGTGAGCGCAACGGAAGCAATTCTTGTGGTACAATTCCCCTTCCATCGTAACCTTTTCCAACGGGTACACTGTTTTCTCGCAAGCACGACATTTGTCTATGGTTCCGGAAAACATGGATGAAAGTTTGTTGGGAGTCCTCGGCTGATCATCTTTCCTGTCGTTCTTCGCTGTCAAAAGGTTATCAGCAAAGAGAATTAATGTTTTTAGCCTTAGCCATGCAGCAAAAAGAAAGTAAATAATTTAAGAAAATTTAAGGGTGGGAGTAAATATAAATTGTACTTGATTGGAAATTCTTGCTGAAATTGCCAGACTCCTTAAATAGTTGTTCAAAATGAGTCCTGCAATACAGGACTCCATCCATGGAGGAGTAGTTGGACATCTGTGAAGGAAAGAGATGAACATATTCACATCATTAAACTCGTTTTTCGATTTCATCGAGGATCGTTGTTCGAGTTTACAGAATCAAAACATCAACAACAACAAAAAAATCGAAAGATACCTCGAGTTTGCCCTTGCAATGGGTGCATTTGAAGCATGTTTTGTGGTAAGGGGAACCTTCGAGGGTCATCATGTCCACAACATAGACAGTCTTGTCACAAGCCTTGCACTTGTCCAAAGTTCCCGTGAATGCCATTGTTGTTGGCCTTGTTTTTGGGGTTAGAACTTGGCTTGTGGGTTCGGTTTTGTCGATGGAACAGAGGAACTGTTGGGCAAGAACAAAAGATGCAACTCGACCACCCCGGTTTGTGGTTTCTGACAAGATGAGAGCTGATGATCGAAACAGCCGTGTTGGGCCTGGTTTATATATATATATATATAAAGAGGGTTCGAGGGATGGCGAGAATTCTGATGGGGGTTGAGCTGGTTAATTGGCCACACACGTGATTGGGGATGCTTAAATTTTGGGACAGCTTAAATGCACTAATTGTGGAGAAAAACCAGGGCCTTTAGCTTTTGACCTCTTCTTTCTTTAGAGAGTGGTGCTAATTGTCTAACATGCACAATGATTTCAATGTTATCCGACTATATCATAAAATAATCCATCTACCATTCAAATCAAATAGAAGTATGCCATACTAATCTCTGGCCCGATTCGAAAACAGGCCGTAATAACATGGGAGTATTATTTTTCTTTTACAATTTGTGTTAATATTTATAGATCAAATCAATTTTTTATTTTGTTTAGTCGGTGGCGTCACCGATTTTGATATTGTTTGTCGACCGTCATTGTCTCTTCTCTTTGTTCTTTTAGTTTTTTAATGAAAATAATTATATCTCTGTGACATGTTTATCTAGCCTTTATAGCACGTTTATCTCGTCTTTATGGCACGTTTATCTATTCCTTTTGGTAGTTTTCAGTTGTTTGACCGCTGTTTTTGCTTATTTTTTTCTCAGGGTTGGATTTGATATCACCACGATTGATCAAGATGACGCTTATTTGTTATCATGATGATATTCTCTGCTTTGGACTCTCTGATTGATTTGGATACGTGTTTTGCGCTCGTGAATAGTTTTCTCACGTCACTTGATTCTGATTTGCGATTTTTCGGTGGTCTTTAGTAGTTTCATCTCATTTTGTTGTTCGTTTGTCGATACAATCAAATTTATTCGTATCTTTATTTTATTCGAGCATTTGTTAGATTTTTAATATTTTCCTTTTATTGTCCCTGTGTGATCTTGGAGTCTAGTTTTTGTGTCAATGGTTATAGAAAAATATCATAATTATAATTTAGTTTACGTTTAGAATTATGCTTGTAAATCTTCATTTTAATTTTGGATATTTTTTATTTTTAATAAAACTAGCAGGTTTTTTTTAAAACAAAATGGGAGGTATTCGACCCAACAAAGAAGACCCTTTCATTTGTTCCTTCACTAACAAAGCAACAATCTGAATAGCATTTGGAACACCTGATCTAAAACTAATAGCTTGAAGAAAAATACAAAATATAATCCAATGGAAGCTTAATTCATTGGTTTTAAGATCACTTTAAACTGAGAATCTGTCTGTAAATGATTTCGATTTGCTGATACATTCATTAGCTAAATCTTTCATCAAAAGGATGACGACACTTCCGTTCTAAGGAAAAAACGACCTGAAGGGCCATTATTTGTCAGCAATGCTAACCTTGCAACATTTTCAGCTCCTTCAGCTGCAGTTAGGACCCCAAAATTGCAAGTTATATCGGTTTTAACAAAGCCTGGGCCAATGGAATTGACAAGGAAACTTGGGTACTTCTTTGCTAGAATCCTGGTGTAGGCATTCATCGCTGCTTTAGAGAGTGTGTATGCTGAGAAATAAGTAGGCCATCCTTGATCTTTCAGTGATCCTTCTTTGAAATCTTTAAGAACTGTTTTAAAACTTCATCCAATTGTTCTTCTGTAAGATTCTCGGCATCACTCATCACTTTGTTGGCCCATTGATTGGGTACATTCTGCACAATCATGACAGATGATGATTAAAAACTAATGCTTAGGCGGCTATGGATCCAAGAGAAAAGAGAGATGTCACCCAGATGCTGCAAGTCAACATGAAAAAGGGAGCAGTCGGACGAACCCCAACAATCTATACTATGGCCAGAGCCGGTGGCGGTTTTACAGAGCCGGGAGCAACTCGGATTGGAGCCATAACACACTTGCAACATGGCCTATATTAAATAGGTAGAGTGCTCGAGCACCAAGTGTGCAAAACGCTCACGTCTTTGCGCGGCCCCCATCCGAAGCACTCTTGGCTCTGTGAACCTATCACGGGGAATACTGATTGTTGAGGATTCGACTGGCTGTCCGAACAAAATTTCGCGGATTTCTCCCGAAAGAGGAGGAGGGAGTCCCCCCCCTCCCCCAACAAATGTGTATATCATGTACCTTCAACAACCCCCTAATAGAGGAAACATTGACAATCCTGGGGGAGTCAGATAACTGGAGGAGGGGAACAAATGCTTCAACCATTCTTTTTGCACCATAGTAGTTGGCTTCCAAGCATTCTTCTGCCAACTCAAATGTCTGAGTTGCAATCTCAAACTGACTGGCTTGCTCTTCACTTGGCTGCACGAATTAAGAGGAATCCTTCCTAATTCATATTTTGCTCTTCACCACATATAAAGATTTCATCATAAAAGGAGTTGCAATTTATCTGTTCTTTCTCACACCAGTAATGACTATCCCAGTTCCAGATCAGATCTTAAATCTACATTTCTATTAACAGATTAAATTACTTACAAAGTAACCAGCAAGTTGAATGGCTTCAGCAAGAGCTTGCTGGTGCAGAACAGCTCCAAAAACGCCAGCATTGTTAACCAAAACATCGAGTTTTCCGAATTTCGATTCTACATAATCTGCAAGCGAGGCAACACTCGAAGGGTCTGTTACATCAAGTTGATGAAAAACCACATTATCATATAAACCGGAATCTTTGAGTATTGCAAAAGCTTCGAGTCCCCTTTTTTCATCTCTGGAAGTCAAAACCACCGTCATCCCTCTTGAAGCCAGGTTCCTGCATAGCTCAAAACCGATTCCCTTGTTGGCTCCAGTTACGACTGCAAACCTAAGAGGCAGAGAGGAAGATTTTGATGGAGGTAAAGAAATTTACAGGTAGTATCAAAGAAATTAAGAAAGCAAGAGATATACCTTTTGTTTGCAAGAAAGGCCGTGCTTTCTGCCATTTTCTGAACCGAACAACTAAATGAATATGACGGTAGTTGTAGCTTGAAGGGTTAGTTCACTATAAGTGCACCAAAATGTTTAAGAAAAGAAAAGGAAAATCATGGTTGATAGTTAGGTAAATTGTCACGTTAACAATTAATCATTTTTTTTATTAAGTTAACAATTAATCATTGAGTTTTAAGTTATGTATTAATATTATTATTTATTTCTTTTTATTATTAGGCTCTTTTGTCTTTTATTATCATTGATATATTAAATTATTTAAAAAAATAATGATGTGGTAGGTTTTTCTTGTTTCCCAAATAAAAAATCATTAGTTTTTTCGATTATTTTTATTAGTTAATTATCACTCGTTATTAGGGATGGTAAACGAGTATAATTTCGTGTATTTCATACCGTACTCGTTTTAATTGGGGCAAGGATGGATATAACTTTAGTTAGCAGTGGGCATGTGTGAATTTAGAAAGTGATATCCGTCGCGGGTAGTGGGCGGGTGATGGGTTTGAGACCTTACCCACCCCGCATCCACCCTCTCCGTATCCGCCTGCCCCATATTCGCCCGCCCACTAAATACCCATTAAATTTTGAACTATTATAAATTTAGGTATAATTTAGGGTTTGTCATTTATGTGTGTCAAAGAACAAAAATATTATGTGTTTGTCATTTATGTTTCTAGACTTTAATTATGTCTTTTATTATGGTGTTTTATGTACTTTAAGATCTATGTTAGCACTTAACTCAGATAATCATTGGCTTATTTTATTATGTTTCTTAATGGACGTGTTTGTTTTATGTTTATTGCTTATGTATAACTTAAGGTTGCTGTAAGGCGGGTCTAGCCGGGTACATCTCAAAGTTGGGTAGTTGGTGTGGGGATGAATTTGAGAATGTACCCACGTGGGCGGGTGTAGATTTGAAAAAAATTACTCATCATGGGTGGTGGGGGGTGGTAGATTTAAAAATATTATGTAGTATGAGGATAGGAGAGGGGATATCCGCACCTGACCCACCCGTTTGCCATCACTACCCATTATTAATCGACATTCGCAATAAAATTATTACTATTAAAATTTAACATTTTACATTTCACTTTCTTTCCCATATTAATTTTTCAAAAAATATACTTTAAATTAAAATTTATTTAAAAGGTTCAATGTAAACTTTTATCCTAAAAAATATACTTGAAATTAACTAAAATTTATCTGAAAGTTCAATGTAAACTTTTATTTCCTTGATAATTATTTGATTAGACTAGTTTCAAGGTATATTTTAAATTGGAGAATGCCATTAAATCTCAAAATGAGATTTTTTTTGGTTTTAAATTTCGTAAAATTTAAAGAGAATTTGAAAAAAAAAATAATCGATAAAGTTTTAGATAACAATAATTGAAATTCATCGGTACTCGATTACCAAAAATAAGGGAGAATGAAAAATTTCGATGACAATTGAAAATGGATGAAAATATTTTATTTTTAATAAAAAGATAATGAGAAAAAAATGATAATTTAATCTCCTCATCAACATCAACCTGTCATATTATATTGCTATTAATCATTTAATGATATATAACAAAAAAATAAATATAAAAAATTTGATGCTAATTTTTTTTATAAAAAATCAATAGCAATCAATATACATACTAGTGTTCAATAACTAATTGTATAATATACCGTAATAGTTAACAAATCTTATATGTACACAAATATACCGTAATAGTTAACAAATTTAGTCGCAGTATGGTTTTTGGTTTTCTTTGAGCCATAGATTTCAGGTAAAATCAAGTTTATCCGTAGGGTAATTTCAAAAGATTAAAAATCCATAAATTTTTTACGACATTGAAGCATTTTTCTCGAAAATAAAAAGAAAAATTACAGATAATAATAATTTGGGTAAATTTGAGTTTAGTACCTAAACTATTATTTTTATCCATTTTAATACCTAAACTTTCAATTTTTTCGATTTTTCTAACAATTAATTCTTGTTTCATTTTAATACCCACCGTTAAAAACTTAAAGCATTTAATACTTAAACTATTAATTTTGGTCTACTTTAGTACCTAAAATATTAGTTTTGGTCTATTTTAATACCTAAATTTTCATTTTTTTCTCAAAATTTAACGTTTAACGAGTGTACTAAAAAG